TCCTGAAACTGGAGTTATGGATGGTTGTTAGCCATCATATGGGTGCTGGTAGCTGAACCTGGGTCATTTGCAAGAGCAGCCAGTGCTTTTAACTACTGAGCCATCTCTACCTCCCAGAGAACATCTTAAAGTACAAACATTACAGAAAAGACTTAAAAATACATTTATTTATTTGGAGACAGGGCTGTGTAGCACTGGCTGGCCTAGAATTCACTATATAGAACAGGCTGACCTCCAACTTGTGAGATCAAGGCCAGCCTTGTCTACATAGCAGAGTTCGAGTTCCAGGCCACCTGGGGCTACAAGGAGATCTTGTCTCAAAAATAGAAGAAAAAAAGAAGATAAAAAAAGAAAAGGATCTTAGAGATTTCCATTATTTAGTGTGTTTTTAAATTAGAGAGGTGTCTCCTTTTGCTTTAATTAAAATTTTCTAGCTAGGAGAGGGTAGAGCTCACATATTTTATTTCTCCACTAATGACATTACTTTCCTTGATTAAGTATTAGCGTGGCCCAAGTACACCCAAGAATTTAATAACCTAATGGTTTCGTTACTTTTGTGAGTGGAAACTTCCTTTGTTTTTGAGCTGAGACACTGGCTTGCATGCCAAGGTTTATTGATTTCTTCTAGGAGCCTCCCCAGTGCCCTTTGGGTTTTACTTCTTTTAAATGTTTTTTTAAAAAATTTATTCATTTATGTATTTATTTATTTATTTAGTGTGTATGTGTACATGCATGTACAAGTCTGAGAACAACTTGTGGGAGTCTGTTCTCTCCTTCCCCACGTGGGTCCTGGGGATCGAATACTGGTTGTCAGCCTTGACAGCAGGTGTCCTCACTGGGTTTTATTTTTGGCCTTTTTGAGACAGGGTCTCCCCGTAGCCCCAGATGGCCTGGAACTCACTTTGAGATCCACCTGCCTCCACTTCCCAAGTGCTGGGATTAAAGGCATGCACCACCATGCCTGGCTTCCCAATAGGTTTTTCTAGGTGGACAACATGTTATCTGTAACACAGTGTTTTGTTTCTTTATTTTCTACATATGCTTTTCTCTAATAACAACTGCCAGAATTTCTCATGAGGTATAAAACAGGAATGATAACAGAAAGCTTCAGATTTGGAGTCAGAAAACACAGATCCAGACTTAGCACTGCCACATGCAGTAGAGAAACTGTAGGCCGCCACTGCATGGCTCTGACGTGTTTCTCTAATTCCTTCTTTTGGAAAATGAGGAGGCTGAGCTTTGTCTTGAGGTTGCTTCTGGTTCTGAGGTGTGGCCCAGTAAAACACTGCTTTAATTAAAATTTTCTAGCTAGGAGAGGGTAGAGCTCACATATTTTATTTCTCCACTAATGACATTACTTTCCTTGATTAAGTATTAGCGTGGCCCAAGTACACCCAAGAATTTAATAACCTAATGGTTTCGTTACTTTTGTGAGTGGAAACTTCCTTTGTTTTTGAGCTGAGACACTGGCTTGCATGCCAAGGTTTATTGATTTCTTCTAGGAGCCTCCCCAGTGCCCTTTGGGTTTTACTTCTTTTAAATGTTTTTTAAAAAAATTTATTCATTTATGTATTTATTTATTTATTTAGTGTGTATGTGTGCACGTGCACACGCATGTGTTTGTGTACATGCATGTACAAGTCTGAGAACAACTTGTGGGAGTCTGTTCTCTCCTTCCCCACGTGGGTCCTGGGGATCGAATACTGGTTGTCAGCCTTGACAGCAGGTGTCCTCACTGGGTTTTATTTTTGGCCTTTTTGAGACAGGGTCTCCCCGTAGCCCCAGATGGCCTGGAACTCACTTTGAGATCCACCTGCCTCCACTTCCCAAGTGCTGGGATTAAAGGCATGCACCACCATGCCTGGCTTCCCAATAGGTTTTTCTAGGTGGACAACATGTTATCTGTAACACAGTGTTTTGTTTCTTTATTTTCTACATATGCTTTTCTCTAATAACAACTGCCAGAATTTCTCATGAGGTATAAAACAGGAATGATAACAGAAAGCTTCAGATTTGGAGTCAGAAAACACAGATCCAGACTTAGCACTGCCACATGCAGTAGAGAAACTGTAGGCCGCCACTGCATGGCTCTGACGTGTTTCTCTAATTCCTTCTTTTGGAAAATGAGGAGGCTGAGCTTTGTCTTGAGGTTGCTTCTGGTTCTGAGGTGTGGCCCAGTAAAACACACACACACACACACACACACACACACACACACACACAGGCGCATGCGCATGTACACACACACAAATGTTTTCCCATACATTTATTCTTTTGAACATTTTATTATTTTTATTCTATGGGTATGAGTCTATTGCCTGCATGTATGAAAGTGCACCCATGTCAAGCAATGCTCTCAGAGGTCAGAAGAGGGTGTCGTATCCCCTGGAGCTGGAGTTAAGGACAGTTGATAGCTGCCATGTAGATGTTGGGAATTGAACCTGGTACCTCTGCAAGGACAGCTTGTGCTCTTAACTGCTGAGCCATCTCTCCAGTCCCTATCTTTAAATTTGTACCACTAATAAGTGAGAGAATGCTAACTTACTACAATCCAGAGTGCCTTTTCTCTTTGTGGAAGATGCTCTAAAACCTGTTTTCTCAAAGATTTGGTGGATGCATTTACAGAGCATCTCTTCCTCAAAACTTAGAACATTAGCTTAATGTTTTCTAAAGATTGGAGCTAAGGGAAAGAATTTCAAGTAATTGAGGTTAATTTTATCATTGCAAAAATCTTGTAAATAAGAGTAATAAGCTAAATGAACAGAGATGTATTCATCCCTCCACCCTTGAACATGAGACTTGGGAGCACACAAGCTGTGTGTGGATGAGCTAGTGAACACAGCAAGCTCTTGTCCTTCATCTTTATGCTTTTCTTTATTAATAGGAGCGACCACTTACTGACTTTTTCAAATATGTGAACCTTATTTCCACTTGTGGAAATGGTACCTTTCTCAATTTTCTTTTTACATTTTTAATTTATTTTTATTATTATTTTATGTGTATGGATGTTTTGCCTGCATGTATGCAAGTGCAACTGTGTGTGCAATGCCCATGGAGGCCAGAAGAGGGCATCGGCTCCCCTGGAACTGGAGTTACAGAGGATTGTTAGCTGCCTTTCGGGTACTGGGAAGTGAATCCCAGTCCTCTACAAGAGCAGTCAGTGCTCTTAAAGAACCCCTGAGCCATCTCTCCAGCCCCTTCTCAATTCTCTTAAAAAAATATTTATTTATATTTTTATTTGTATGAGTGTTTTGCCTGTATGTATGTAGGTGCACCATGTGTGTGCAGTGCCTGCAGAGGCTGGAAGAGGCTTCACGTCTGCTGGGACTGGAGTTACAGGTGGTTTTGAGCCACCTTGTATGTGGGTGCTGAGAACCAAACTCAAGTCCTCAACAAGAGCGGCAGTGTCTTAGCTGTCGAGCCATGTCCCCAGGCCCTCTCTCAGTCTTCACTCTTACCCCTGGCTAAGATACTAACATACCTTGCTGTCTTTTCCCACTGGCTCTCACTACGTCCTCCTAGGCCTTCTGGATGGTCTATTCGTGTCTTCTTTTTCCCCTTTCCTTTTAATCCTCCTCTCTCATATAGATGCATACCCATATGCATCCATTCACTTAGAAATATTGAAACTAGTGGGCTGGAGAGATGTCTCAGTGGTTAAGGGCACTGACTGCTCTTTCAGAGGACCTGGGTTCGATTCCCAGGACTCACATACCTCCAGTTCCAGGGAATCCAGTGCCCTCTTCTGACCTCCATGGGCACTGCATGACATGGGTGCACTTACACACACATGCAGGCAACACACTGATACACACAAAATAAAAATTAAAAAATTAAAAAAATTGAAACTAGCACCTACTGGAGCCAGTCTGTAGGGCGTGAGGGTCAGGGTTGCCCTGGACTGACACTACCCCTCGGCTTGCAGAATTCATCAGTTGGGGAAGACAGACCCTCGCATATATTTCCTAAATATTTCATCACCAATATGGCAAGGGCTGTGTAGGTGAAACTCTGGGAACACAGAGCTTTAGGAAGACTTTGGAGGCTGCTTTGGGGACCTAAAGGAGACTTAAGAGGTGACAGACTTGGAGTCTGAGGAAGCAGCTGGGATGAAAGCAGGGGTGGGGAAGAGAGACAGAGTTTGCTGGACGCCCAAGCAAAGAGCTGCCGGAGTAGCTGGCATGGGCGAGTGGAACAAGGGGCCTGGGAAACAAGAAGATGCACCACATTCCTCCTTCAGCTGTGGGACCTCTGACACTGCCAGGCAGACACCCTGAACTGTGGCAGAATTGCACTGATAGCCTGCTTGTCCAGAGATGGTCTGTTACAGATTTCTTTTCCATTTGGAAGTCATTTAAGAAAAAAAAATTAAAAATTTATGTCACTGGTGGTTGTTCTTTTAAGTGAATCCTTAGCATTTTCTGGGACGCCTGCCAGGCCACCCAGTAATTTGTCTGTTGTCCTCCTCCCAGACCTGAGGGCACACGAGTCTGACTCCCTTGTGTGTTTCTGTCTTCTGTCATCAGGCTAGACATCCTGGAAGAGGAAGCTTCAGGGCTGGGCTGCAGGAGGGGCTGGGGATGAGGGGGTGGGTAGGGCTGTGGAAGGGTAGACTCAGCTGTGGTCTGAGGGTGGCCAGTGCAGCCTGAAGCACAGATGCAATGGCTCTAACAGCTGTAGTAACAGTGCCGACTTGGACTTTACTCTTGCTGGGCCTTTCAGTAGCCACATGAAGGAGGCTACCTATATTCCTATTTTACAAATAAGCAAACTGAGACACAGAGAGATTTGTGTCCAGTTCTTCCCCAAATTCACGTAGCTACCAAGTGTTGTGACCCGGATTTGTGTGTAAGGGGGACAAATGCAGAGAAGTGGGGAGATTCTTAAATACCATCCAGTCCATCCTGTTGGCTACAGGAGCTATGGCAAGTGTTAGAGGAGGAAGTGCTGAGGGTATGGTATGCCCAGGGGGGCTGAGGTGGCATCCCTCTCTCCTACAGAAGCCATCCACGGATCAACCACTGTACAACAGCAGCCTGTGGGGCCCAGCAGTTGATGGCTGTGACTGTGTGGCCGAGGGCCTGTGGCTGCCGCAACTACACGTAGGGGACTGGCTGGTCTTTGACAACATGGGAGCCTACACCATGGACACAAAGTTCCTCCTTGGGGAGATCCAGGCCTACAGAATCACTTATGCTATGTCCCGGGTAGCCTGGTAAGGGGGCCCTGCTGTGAAGTGGGGTGAGGGGAGCCAAGTTGGGCAGAAGCAATGGGGAAATGGATCTGAGGAGCTGCCTCTTTGTGATTCAGTTTGAAAACGCCTCTTGGCCACTGCTGAGATAATGCCTGTGCTGGGCACCTAGTTGTGGCCATAGAGAGGCTGAGCTTCCCCCAGGGGGTGCACAGTTCTATTGATGATGCTCCAGTCCTGCCAGAGGTCCAAACCTGCTCCCTGAGGAGAAGGAACAAGCCTGTGTTGTGTCCAAAGCACCAATGAAGGTTGGTTGTGATGGTCTGGGGAAGCAGGCCAGACCTGGGAAGGCCTTGGAGGCTGAATGAAGGATGTGGAAAACAAAGATAGGCAAGGGGCATGGCAGGGTCTGCTCAGCATTTTGGAAAGTTCACTCTAGCCATGGGTTCAGTAAGCAGGATATGAGTAGATGTAGGCAGTGGTGGCCAGCTCGGTGGCAGCTCTGAGACCTGGGTCAGACTTGCCTGCTTACTGAGCCTTTGACTTCCCATCTAGGAAAAGGGCATAGGCTAGTTCCACCTGCTTCCCACAGGGTGTGTAAGATGGAGAGAGGGGCCCTGGTGTCAGACCTTGTGTCAGGCATCTTGCAGTCTTTCCTTTCACTACACAAAGCTCTGTGGGATCAGTGTCATACCAAGAGGCCATACAGCTGGTGAGGGCCTGGGATAGGCTAGGAAGGCAGAGCACTTGGGAAGGGCTTTTATGTGGAGCCCTCAGGGCTGAGTGGGGCCTATATCCTGAGGGCCCCCAGGAGCATCAACCAGACCCTTGGCCTCACAGGGAGAGCCGTATTTCGTTCATCCATCCAACAAACATTTGTTGTTTCTGCACTGTGTGTGGAACTTATGTACAATTTTGCTAGTGGGGCATTTTGACAAGGCCTAAAAACAACATGCAGAATTCCTTACTGGTCCCTGACCACCATCAGCAACTGCAGGTGGATGAGGCTGCAGAGAGTCACCTGCATTCATTACTAGGAACCAAAATATTGACATATCAAAGTGGACAAAGGGGCCTTCAATTCCTTCTGCTTGAAGGTTGGCTCTGTGCCAGGCTGTGGAGGTATGGGAGCATCTAAGGTAGTGGGGTGAGCCGAGGTATAGATCTGTACCTGCAGACCCTGGCACAGAATGGTAGGGCCCCTGTGGAGGGATAGTGAGTTGGGAATGGCTTCTCAGGAGTCAGCCAGGCATCTCAGCACAGCCAAGAGGGGGCCAAAAGGTGAGGGGGCTTAGAAGAGTCCTGTTCAGTCACAGAACTGCCAGTACTGTGTCCATCCACAAGCAGTAGCATGTAGGGAAGACTGGGTCTTGGAGGCCCAGCCTGGACTTGGTCATGAAGGCAACAGGGAGCCACTGAAAGGTTTTAAGAAACTGGGCCAATCTACATCTAAAGACAGGGAAACAAAGGCTCAGCCGAGCAGTAGGCCCAGAGCCTAATACTGATTTGCTGTTGTATGAGGCAGCAAAGAGGGAGGTCTTCTGACCTGTGGGGGACTGGAATGTACTAGAACTATGGAAAGTGAAGGGAAGAACTCGATAGAGGAGGGAGGATGGATCCCAGAGGTCAAGGGCAAGCTGGTGTGCCCCTCCCAGGCCTCTCAGCTCTGATCCTTGTGCTCTTTCCCCATCCACTGTCCCCACAGCATCCATCCCATCCTGCCTGGTGAGTGGGTGGGAACTAGCCCGCTGCAGCACACCAGCAGTGAGAGACACAGCCATATCCCCTGCCCTGCTGTAGGTAAAGGAATGTGGGCGTGTAGACATTGGACCCTGTTATCAAGGAGAGGAACACTGTGAGTAGGATTCTGCAGTGTCCTGGCTCCCCGGAGGATCTGTCGTCTAACCCGAGACCTGGAAGCTGTGGAGGAATCAGCTTGTGAGGGTGGATAATGCAGATGGGACAGCAAGGCCCAGGCCTGGGAGGGGACATGTGAGAGCCTAATGGCACAGTCATTCCACAGGCTGCCTCAGTGACATCTGAGAACGTCACATGGAGTACTGGGGGAATGTGGGCAAGGACTGATCTTGTGGGCATCTAAGTGTGGCAGGAAGGTGCTGGAGTACAAGAGTGGAAGTTGCCTTTTGGAAAGATGCGCCCTGGCTCATCTGTGCTGTCTTTGTCTGGAGGGGGCAGGAGCAGGTGAGGGAGATGGTGGGTCCCAGCAAGAGATGGCTCTGATGATGGGAACAGAGATGAGCAAGTGGGTTGTTTAGGAAGTGGGATTGGCAGGACTGGATCGGGTGTAGGACAAGAATCCTGGCTGTGGCCAGAGAAGGGGATCAGATGGTAGAGTTTCTCATCCACATGGGGACAGAGGAGAACCAGTTTGTGGGACTGTTGAAGGGGAGCAGGATATGGACTATTTTTAAGCCTTAAGCCTGGAATATGGAGATAAGGGCTAAGCTCAGTCCTGGTCTTTCCACCTGCTAAGGATGGGGTCTTGTTCCTGCCCTTGGCTGGGCTTGGGGCTCAGGTAAGAGCCCTGTGTGTAATGAGGCCAGAACTACAGAAGCTGGGGCTACAGGAAGCTCCAGGCCTGTGTTCCCATATTGGCTGTCTTTAGCGTGTGTCTCTTCCTCCCAGGGAAGCACTTCGAAGGCAACTGTTGCCTGCAGAAGATGACCAGGATGCTGAGGGCGTGTGCAAGCCTCTGTCCTGTGGCTGGGAGATCACAGACACCTTGTGTGTGGGCCCTGTCTTCACCCCAGCGAGCATCATGTGAGCAGGCCTCCCCCCCAACCCCCTGGAGAACCCCAGCAGGATCATGGAGATGCCTTGGGAGAGGTGGGCAAGGCAGCAAGCTGGCATCCTCTGACCAGGACGCTGGTGCTTGCTCTGTCACCCACATTTCACCTGTCGTGTTTTTGCCCTGTAAATAGGACCAGTCTTACACTTGCTGTAGTTCAAGTATGCAACATAAATCCTGTCCCTTCTAGTTGTGTCTTCCTCCTCTGCAGCGCAAGGGGCCTGGTCAGCCAGGTGTGGGGTGTTCTTGGGGTCTCCTTGGTCTCCTTCTCACCTTGGTAAATATGAAGCAAATAAATATTTAGGTTTTTTAATACTTTAGTGGAATCAGCAGTTCCATTCACAATGCTGCCTGGGTGAGGCTGAGAGAAACTTGCCAACTTGACATGGAGGAACCAGTTCATTTCAGCCCTGACCTGCTCTCCAGCCCCAGTCTCCCACTGGTGCCCGTCTTCGCTCACTCATCTCTGCCTTCCTCGAAGGTTTCCATGCCTGGCATCATGAGGCTGGGCGAACTGTTGGGTTGAGGAGGGGTCAGATCTGCTTCCTTTCATAAGTTCGTGACTAGTCATGACCTCTGTGTGATCCATCTCTAGTCTAAGCCTCACCCAGAGAAGTGGTAGAAAGAGAAAGGGCAAAGGGATGAGGTGGGCAGGAAGGTTTTGGCTCGAACCCAGGGCTCTGTACATGCCAGGCCCATGCTCTGCTACTGAGCTATAAGTCCAGCCCCGTTTCCCCCCGGGAAGTTCTCAGTAGACCCTGTGACCTTACTTTCCTTGCAGGTTGGCAAGGCAGTAAGAGTACCCCACACACATGGTAGATGTGCTCAGGAAACAACCATTGGAACACAGAGCACTGCTGTGTCTAGTGCCAACGGTGTGACGTCTTCTCAGACTGGTAGTTCTTACCAGGACAAATGTTCCTTTGTGCTGCCAGGGTCTTAAGCTGTGCTCCTGGGATATGTGAGCCACTGGGAAAAGGGCTTCAGATCTTCCATCGCCCTCAGCTACTGCAGAACACCTTAAAGAGTTTTATTCTTTTAAGATTTATTTATTTATATGTATGTGTGTGAGCCTGTGTATGTGTACCACAAGTGTGCACTGCCCATAGAGGCCAGAAGAGGATGTCAGAACCCTTGGAACTGAGGTTGCAGGTGGCTGTAAGTTACCATATGGGTGCTGGGAACAACCCCAGTCCTCTGCAAGAGCAGTAAGCGCTCTTGACCACTGAGACATCTCTCCAGTGTGAAGATTTTTCTTCTTAAGAGGAACTGAGATACAATCAAGTGCCATAAAACTCACCCTTTTAAAGTGTGAAAGTCTTCTGTGTATTATTTTTTTCTTCTTTGATTTATTTATTGATTTTTATGGGGCTTTTGCCTGCTCTAACATTCCCCCCTCTAAGAGGTAACCCTAAAATCTTTTAAGGATTAGATACAAGCTCCCAAATACTTTTGAGATTTTTGGCCTTTGGAACAGAGTATGTTGCTAAGAGGCCCAAGGACATTTTGACTTTTAGCCAAGAAACTGGCTACTTTTCTTTGGGGTCTTTTTACCCTAATTGCCTAGCCAATTCCTACCTCCTATTCTTATCACACCATCCTCTGAAGGGGTTACCCAAATTGCCAATAGGGAATAGGGACACAGACCGCTCTGGCTTCTTCCATACTGAACAGGGATGCAGGGTGAGGCAATTGGAGTACCCCTTCAGTGGGTCTATCTAAAAGACTCCCAAATTGCATGACTTTTATCTCTAAGTGGAAAAGAAAGTCCTTAAATCGTGAGCAGGAGATGTGAAGGAGAAGTAAAGTCAAGAGTAATTAGCATTAAAAGTTGTAGACAGGAGACCAGGTATGGTGGCGCATGCCTTTAATCCTAGCACTCGGGAGGCAGAGGCAGGCAGATCTCTGTGAGTTCAAGGTCAACCTGGTCTACATAGTGAGTTCCTGGACAGCTGGGGCTATAGGGAGAGCCTGTCTCAAAAAGAACAACAAAAAAAAAGTTCTAGACAGAGAACTAGAAAAAAGTCAGAACCGGGCAATTTTCAAATGTTCATATGACAGTCCATTGGAATTTCTTGACAAGGGCTTCCAAAAGCATCCCTCCCTGGGTTCCTCCTTATTTTCCTTTTGTCTGTCAAGGCTGGGCTCTAGAGTGATAGTATTTCGATAGCTGTTGGAGTGGTTAGAATCAGCGTCAGTTCCCTCTCACAGGCTTCTAGATGGTGGAGAAAACAAATTTATCCATCATTTTAGAACAATAGCAGGTTGTCTCCCTTAGCTACAGGTGGGCACTACAG